CGAACACAATTGATGAGATTGAGCCGAGCACTCAAGGAAAAACGCGCCCACTACTACTCCAGACACGACAAAGTTATTCTTCTGTATGATAATGCTTGTCCACATGTTGCGGCGCCGGTCAAAACCTACTTGAAAACACTCAATTGGGAAGTTTTACCCCACCCGCCGTATTCACCAGACATTGCTCCTTCTGATTACTACCTGTTTCGATCGATGGCGCATGGCCTGTCTGAGCAACACTTCACATCATGTGAAGATACCAAAAATTGGGTCGATTCGTGGATAGCTTCAAAAGATGAAGCGTTTTTCCGACGCGGTATCCGTATGCTGCCAGAAAGATGGGAAAAAGTAGTGGCTAGCGATGGACAATACTTCGAATAAAACATTAGGTACCGTTCTTTTATAATAAATGCTCAATTTTTGATAAAAAACGGCGGAAACTTATTTATACTTCTAATAACACTTACATATACCAACTTAGATTCATAAATATGATGTGAACCTTTTATCTATTTTTTTTTCTTATTTTTGTATTATTTAGACTAATTGCGTCTTTAAATCAATATTATACTCTTAGTATGACGGATATGCGGGGCTAATAAAAATGAATAAAAAAGAAAATAAATAAAGAAAATCTTTTAAAAAAAAGAAGAGAGAATATACAAAAATAATAATAGAAAAGGGGAGAGGAAAATATATATATATATATATACACAATATATACCTTAATACTTTCCAGTTAACCATGTATAATTGAGTAACTAATAATCTAGATTGTTGTAGAAATTTAGCAACAAACTCACTTAAAAAAGCCGGTTGCCGCCTGAGGAATGAAAAAAAAAAGAGGAGGAAAAGAAAAAAAAGGAAAAAAAGGGAGGAAAAGAAAAAAAAAGAGAAATCTCCAATATCATTTTTATATCTGTAGCTTGATGTTACTAATTCCTCGACAATGCTGCAATATCCACAAAATAACAAGTAAGGTACAGTAACGTACCGATATATGATGAGCTGTGAGCTCACTATCTTCACTTCGACGAAGTCTAAACAGATTTCGCACGCGGTCCAACGGACTGCCTCCGTGACAAATATCAGATCCATAGTTAAGGTCGAGGGTAAGTCAAGGTTATGGCCCACCACAGGGCGCACTCACGTCGGGTACAAGTGACCATCACACTGGGGCAAACGC